TACTTCTGGTTGTTCGAAAATTTAATGGGGCATATTGGTCAGGTAAGGCTCAGTAGCGTCTCAAGTGTTACATCGCGAGAGATTTACATTTATTAACTGCAAAGAATTCGTATAAGTTTGCTATTACTTGATTTATGCATTGTAATGTTTTATGCATGTGAAAACCCGTGAACTCAACAACTCTTTGTAGTTGACCTTGTTTTTATTCCATGCTTTTCGGGTTCTGAGTAAGTGGTTTGGATTTTAAGGGAGCATACTTGAGCCAAGATCAATTAAGTCAAGTTTTTGATGTAATTATGAACATTGTGTAAATTCTAACTCCTGTTATGTCGATGAACCGTTTTGTTTTGAGCAACTTAAAATGGTGTTATTTATGAACTGTTGGTATGACCCGGTTGTCTGTTAGCATCCCGTGTTTCCGCTTTAGCGGGGTGTGACACTGACCGAGACAGTCGTTTTACTTCAAAATTCTGGGAAAGTCTACAAAGAGCTTTGGTATCTCAAATCAGATTGAGTACAACTTATCATCCACAAACGAATGGACAAAGTGAAAGAACCATCCAAACTCTTGAAGTCATGTTGAGAACTTGTGTCATCGACTTTGGGGAATCATGGGATGAACATCTAACATTAATAGAATTTGCCTACAATAACAATTATCACTCCAACATTCAAGCAGCACCTTATGAAGTTTTGTATGGTAGAAAATGTCGAACACCACTGTGTTGGAATGAGGTTGGTGAAAATCAGTTAACCGGGCCACAAATTGTGCAAACAACATCCGAAAAGATTGAATAGATTCGAGCAAGAATTAAGACTGCCCAAGATCGACAAAAAAGTTATGCTGACAAAAGGACAAAACCGATTGAGTTCAACATAGGTGACTTTGTAATGTTGAAGGTATCTCCATGGAAGGGTGTTATGAGATTTGGGAAGAAAGGAAAACTTAGTCCAAGGTATATTGGACCCTTCAGAATCTGCAAACGGGTTGGGCCAGTAGCTAATCAATTGGAATTACCAGAAGAACTCAGTCAGATTCACAGTACCTTTCATGTATCAAATCTGCGTAAGTGTTTGGCAGAACCGAGTCTAGCGATACCACTTCCTGAGATCAAACTTGATAATAAGATGAATTTCATCGAGACACCAGAGGCAATAGCTGACAGAAAGACCAAGATCTTAAGAAATAAAGAGATTAGTTTGGTAAAGGTACAATGGCGTTTTCAGAAAGATTCAGAAGCAACATAGGAACTAGAAACTGACATGAGAACTCGATACCCTTGGTTATTTGAATGAATTCCAGGACGGAATTCTCTTAAGGGGGAGAGAATGTTATAACTAGGTTTTCTGCAAACCTGGGTTGAGGTAATTTTATGTGTTTACTATATGACTTATGTGATAATATGCATAATTATGTTAATACTTGCATGGATAAGGTGCAAATAAGTGGAATCGGATGTTATGCATACATGTGATGAGAAATATTATTTTTAAACCCAAAAACTTCATGGTTAAGAAAGAATGATTTTAAATCATCATCTTCCACCGCTTAAGGATTTTTATATTAGTATAACACCATCACCGCCTTATTTTAAATATAAAAGAAAGAAGATAAGATAAAAATATTATTAGTTTCATGTTTTACAAAATGTGAGTGTTTAAAGGCAGTTAAAGTGTTCTTGAAGGAGTTCTTGAAAATTA